CTCAAGGGGAGCAGGTCCGCCAAGCCTAGCCTCGACGGCACCTATCCTCCTTGCAAGGCCCCCAAGGTCTTGGCGGATTTCATCTCTGATTTCCGCCAGCCATGCAGGGGGCCCTGCTTCCTCTGTCCTTTCCCCGTCACACGGGGTATCCCCCCCCCAGTGAGGCCCCATCCCGGGCCTCCCAGGCCATATCCCGGTCAGACCGCGGGGAAGAACCCCCCGGGGAGAGTAGCCCTTCTTCGCTTCCTCTAGTTGGGCCTCCAACCTCTCCAACCTCTCCTCCAGTCGGCGTACCTCCTCCTGGCTTTTCTCCGTCAGCCCCGCCAACCTCGCCTTCTCCTCCTCGAACGTGGTGAGGGACTGCTCAAGGAGATCACGGAGCCTGAGATTCTCATCCTCAAGCCCGGTCATCCTTAGCTCCGCCGCTTGGCCCTTCTTCGCCAGCACGTACGCCCCCAGAGACGTCTCCTTCACGAACGTCTCCAGTTCGGCCTTCTCGTCCTCGGACATGCTCCTCCACCACTTCAGCCCATCCTCCTCCAGGCTGTAGTTCCTCCAGCTGTCGACGTCGCAGATTATTCTGCCAGCCGCCTGCAGCGGTGTCAGGAGCTCAAACTCCTCGAGGGCCACCACCTCGGGCTTCTCCTCCTTATCTGCCCGTATTGGGGCAACAAACACCCTCTCGAAAGTGTCCACCCACTCGAGCCACCCGACGTCATCCTCAAGGGGGCTCGAACCGGCCGCCATCCTTCCATCCTTGGCCGGCCCTCCCCCCTGCTTCCCCATTTCCCGTCTTCCCCGTCTCCCCCAGAGGTCGACGGTTGGGGGTCCTCCCACTACTATTTTTCCCCAAAAGATAGTCTGCCATTTTTTGTTTAAATCCACTACCCGTGACGGCTGCCCCGGCTAGGGCATGCCCTCCTCCCCCATCTCTGGGGGAGGCCCCGAGTTCCCCCGGGGAGCCGGGATATGGCACAGGCCGGGGGGAATACCGCACCCCGGCACAGGCCTCCAGCCACCTACGCGCCCCCACGCTCAATGCGTGGGGGTTTTCAGGGGCCCCGGATCTCCGATCCTCCGGGTACCGTCACGGGTGCCGCCACGCGGGAGGCCCCACGGACGGTTGGGGCGTCAGGGGAGGCCCGTCCCCCCTTCGCCTTGCCCGCCGCACAGTGGAAAAAAAGGCACACTTTTTGGACAAAAATCCCAGGACGGTGTAATTTTCAACCGATTTTATTGCTTTTTTTTAATTTACTCGTTATAAATTGCTCTAAAATTGTATCGTGCGCCCTTTTTTTAAATTAGACCTTTGATTCAAAATGGTGGAATCAAAATGGTTATCAGAAATATAGAAATTGTAAGATATTGAATATTATTGTACCAAACTAAGTATATGCGGGTTTTAGGGATCCGAAATAATATATCTGTGGTCAAAATGGTAATATTTGCCGCTGAAAAAGACCTGAAGTGGGTCGAAATGTTTCACGACTCTCTTTGATATCTTTACAATATCAATACATTCAGATCGCGTTTTCATATTAGTACATATTACCCGATTATATGTAAATTTCACAATTTAACATAAAATTTATATAACTGCCAAAATATGAAATTATAATCATAATGTAAAAACAAAAAATATAATAACACTAAAGTCCCCTTTTATTTATTGTCAAGATATCGGACGTGCCAGAATTTATATTTATTTTTGATTATTTTGTTTTCTTTATTTTTTGTTTTTATTTTTGTTTTTGTACTTTTATATTTT